AAAAAGGTGATTAAAAAGTAAAAAAATAATTATAAAAAATAAACAATAAGATAAAGTAAATTATAAAAAAGAAAAAATACATTGATTAAAAAATAATTAAATAAAAATGTAAAAAATAAGAAGAAATAATTGAATAAAAAAATTAAGAAATAGTAAAAAAAAATTGAAACTAACCCCTTTCTCTTCTCCCTACTGGACGATATTTTTTGTTTTCAGACTTTACTTTCGCTTCCACTCCGCCATCTTACAAGATGGCTACACACCCCGCCATCTTACACTGAGCTGCGCATGTACTGCTGTCAGTCTACAATAGTAAAAAAACAGCTACCAGGCATGCAGTCTCCTTCTCTCATACATACCGGCCAGCAGTTTTTTTTTAAATTACAAGTTTTTAGTTCTGCTTTTAGAACAGTAATAAAAGTTTTCATGCAAAATTTATGCTAAAAAAAAAATAAAATACTTTTACAGTTTAATTTCAACTGTGATGTCACCTGCAGCTTTCATACTCACTACAGTGCACTGGTCCATGGAGGTTCCAGTCATAGGCCCTTTTGTTATGTGCACAAGCTCTGAAACTGCTTCTCTCGAGTCCTGTTCCTCCCCCTTTCCACAGGCTCAGTCTTGCTAAAAGGGGTTATGGGTCCTGGGCCAAGGGGTAGGCAGAAGAGGCGGCCATATTGGGCACTTCAGCTGGAGGGGGACAGGACCTGCAACATATGCTGATTTAGTTCACTGAAGGGGGGCACACTTTGGCGCCTTAGGACCTTGTCCTAGCACTGGGGGTAATGCTGGAGCCTGTGCATGACAGGGACAGCTCGCACCAGCAGGACAAACCATGGTTATCCTGCTCATATGTATACTGCAGCAGTGGCCAGTCAGCATGACCAGAAACTGCTCATAAAGTAGAGTTTCCACTGCTGGAACCGTAGCTAATTCAACGACTGCAGCAGTTTTTGCGATTGAACGTGTGTTTGTAGATGAGATACAACAAATATAATCCAATATATGATTGTATTTGCTAGGAGCTAGATTTTCCATCACAATACAGTTGTTCCCATAAAGAACCAATGTATTTTACTGCTGTACTGCAATACTATGATTGACCAGCAGGCGGTGCTGTTGCTCAGGAAACCTAATAACTGCAGGGGAAGGGATGTCTCCATGTAATCAACCCCCATGTAATAATTGTCATTAAAGTACTTGGAAAGGATACATGCAAATTGCATTACTCCAACTTATTTGAAATTCTATATAGCGATGAATTTAAAAAAAAACCAATTCTTGGGTGTGATCCCAGCAGTCATAAAAACACGACTCCATGTGAACATTCAGAACGTCCATATTTCATCGTATTAAATCCAGATTTAAAATGTACAAATATATTTTCCGCCCGGTTCCCTCCAGGTAGACGTATCCCGAGGAGAATCTGGTTTAAATTGCTCCAATTAGAGATAATAAACAAAAGTAAATGTCAGGAGCCGATGTCGGCTTTGTTGACAGGCTGTAGTAAATGTAGAATGTGTTTATCTCCCAGTTACCTGATATTTGTGGTTAGACTGTACAGATGTGTGTCAGGCGTGGAGCACGGCGTGGTTCCAGACATACTTTTTTTTAATGTGTTCTGTCTTGTTTTGACTGTCGATTTTTAAAATAAAATATTTTCTGAATTCAATAATGACCGGCCTCTGCGTGGGGGGGGGAGGGGGGCATGTTGCCTGCTTGTTCAGGGTGTGATGTACTTTTGCCATGGCAGAGAAAGATGAGTGGCAGTAGGACCAGGCAACAGTGGCGTCACAAGGGGGGTGTACCCGGGTGACGCCATTGGAGGGGTGACACCAAAATGACTGACTGTCATTTTGTTGTCACCCCCTCTGAAAAGTTGGGCACTCAGTCATGGACCGAGAGCCCGACAGTTGCAGGAGAGAGAGGAGGGGACCCGGCGGCATACCTTATCCCACCAGGTGAACGCCCCTATCAAAAAGATGACCGTGGATGCGTGATGACGCCATGGCGGGGTGTCACCCGGTATCTGCTCCAGGTAACACTCGGCCTCAGGATGCCCCTGCCAGGCAATGACCTATAAAACGAATCAGCAGGCCCCATAAGTACACTATATGGCCACAGGATTGTGGACACCTGACCATCATAGTAGGGTTGCTCTGAAATGTCAGCCGAAAATGGTACTGTGGGCAAAATGCCAATAGTGCAAAAATGCAATCCCTAACTTCTCTTCTCCCTGCTGGGCGCCGGCCTGTGTCCCCTCTGATCCCCGCTACTTTCCCCCGCCTGTGTCTGCAGAGGCAGTGGATATCAGAAGCGACATAGAGCCGATCCAGCTGTTGGGATGTGAAGCGGGGTGGTGTTCGGCTCCTGTGACAGGCGGAGCAGTCAGGATGGAGAGCGGAGCACACACACACACTCGGCAATCAGTACCAATTGCTGAATGCTTGTAAATAACGGAGGACATAGTAAGCTTACTAGTCCCCAGTTATGAATGAACAGGAAGTGCTATACATCACTTCCTGTTTATTTATGAATGGGGACATTGTATATATTTACCATTTGCTCACTTTATGAATGGACAGGAAGCAGCTCAGTACAGAGCCTCCTGTCCATTCATGACTGGGTTGATAGTAAATATTTACTATCTCCAGATTGTGAATGAACACAGCGTCTCTCCTCCTGCACCGCTTCCTGTCACAGATGAGGAGAGCAGCGGTGGTGTGGGCGGAGACAGCTGTCACAGGGGACCGAGTGTTGCAAGAGGAGAGTGATGTGAGCGGCTGGCGTCTCTCCTCCTGCACTGCTCAGCTTCCTGTCACAGATCAGAAGAGCGGTGTGGAGGCGGAGACAGCGGTCATTGCTGTCACAGTAGGCTGAGCTCTCTTCCCGCCCCGTCCAGCCTCCTGTGACAGCGTGTCAGAGAGGAGAGTGGGTACAAGCAGTCAGTGATCACTGAGTGTTTGTAAATAATTGAGGACAGAGTATGTTTACTATATCCTCTATGAATGAATGGGAAGTGATCTACATCATTTCCTGTTTATTCATGATTGTGGTTATAGTAAACATACTCTGTCCTCATGTTATGAATGGACAATAACACTCAGTATAGAGGATTCCTGTTCATTTATAACTGGGGATACAGAAAAAGAGATTGAGGACTATTTAAAAAAACGAATATTTAAAAAAAAAATTATAAAAATTAAATATATTTTAAAAAGTTAGAAAAAAAAAACATTTTTGGTTAGACATTTTTTTAAATTTCGGTTTTGTTTTTGCAATTTTCATTTCGGTGCTCCGCTCGTTAGCAGCACACGTCAATTGAACTTACGTTTGGCCATACAGTGTATGTATGGTTGAAGATTCCCTCTTTCCGGAACCAAGGTTCCCCCCAACTTGAGTGGAAGCTCAGGGTGACATGACAGTGATTCCCGCAGCAGCTTCCTGTGTCTCCTCCCTGCACAGCGGACTATAAAAGAACATTATTACACTGCTGGATCTCCGGCTGTACACTTGTGACGGGAGCCGCCTTAACATCTCCCAGTGCAAGGAACATGTTGGACCAAGTCCTGGGCAATGCAATAAAGCTCAATTGGTTCACAACACTGACCCTGTAATTCTCAGTCTGATTTCTGCTGTTTAGGTTCTTGTAGGTAAATAATATAGAAATGGGCGCCGTGCAGTTCTAGCAGCAGTACGTTTAATGATTATTTAAACAAATAAAAATATTCCAGGTAACGAGTAAATGAATGTGATGCCGCACGCGCCGCACTAGGCCAAAGCCAGAAAGGCCGGTCACACATTCCAACCTAGTCACAAACTTTGATAGAACACCGGCCTGATGATGTGTACAAGGGGCAGGTCCATGACAGCCTGGGCTTACAGGAAGTGGGTTAAATGATGCTGTCAACTTAAAAAGAAGAGGAGCGCCATCTGCTGGGTATCGCATTAAAGGCGGCTGCTTTTTTGTAGAAAATAAAATGGTGCATGGACAAAGCACAGGTTACTCATAAAGACCATGTCACACTGACGATTTAGCTGTTGCCCTCATAGAGCTCCATATTATTATTATTATTATATAGCGCCAACAGTTTGCGCAGCGCTTTACAATATAAGGAAGACATTACAATCACAATTCAAGACAAGATGGTAAAGAGCGCCCCGCCCCTGAGGGCTTACAATCTAAAAGGGGAGGGGCCAGCGATACATGAGGAGGGAGCTATGTGGGGATGAATTGTTTGAGAATGTGATGGTTCAGTGATTAGGTTGAGGTGGGATCGGCTTCCCTGAAGAGATGAGTGTTAGGTGAACCCTATGCATATGTGCCCTTAGCGGTCCTCAGCAGCAGCAAGATCACTTGTGTGACACGATCACGGGGTGTATGTTTTCCTTTCTTGGAGTTCTGCATTGAATTAAGATTTGGTACAGCTGAGTGAACACCCCTTGCAGTGCCCGCTCATACACCCGTCTACCTAAACTCCACCGTCATTAAGGGAGGCGGGTGGCAGGGTTGGTCCGCAGTGCGTTTCTGGAAGGAAGCCGGCATTTTACTCCAGTCCACAAGAGAAAACTGCGTGACGGATCTTCTGTATCCTCTCAATAAAGCTTGATCTTCAAAAGGTAGGACGTCTTCTCTGAGAAAGAAAGAGTAGAATGTAATGCAAAGCATTATAAACTTGTGTAGCTATAAATGTAATAAAGTGGATCTATCAGAGAGGATGAGGAGATGGGAGAAGGACTACAAGGCAATAGAAGTGAATGAGCTAAACCTAAAATGTATCTAAACCCAAAAACAAAAAATGTAATATATTGCAGCTCACCAATTCTTAGACCCCGTTCACATGTAGCGACATACCTTTGCAGCGGCCGGGATAGCGCGACTTTCGGGGCGACGTTCCAGCGGCGGTAGAGTGACCTTCTCCGTCGGGCTCCATAGAAAAAAAGCAAAATCCGCCGAAAAAAGGGTCCGGTAGAAGCGACTTGCGACAGCGACGCCCGACATGGAGTTAAGACAGCTCCATTGTATAGCATTGGCCGGCGACTTCTCGCGATATCGCACGGCAAAAATGCGCGATATCGCGGCGGAAATCACGCGATACGTCACTACATGTGAACGGGGCCTTAGATGTGTTGGCTGCATTAGGTTTCTTTTTCAGGCTTGTTTTCACCTCTATTTTGCCCCAGCCAGTAACACACTTTCTATTGCAGGGTAACAACACTCATTTACTGTACTGAATCTTTGGGGGAGCAGAGTTGTCACCCTAGGTCAGGAAGTGTCCTGGGACTTTAGAACACCTCCTTCTTTCCTCATCACCATGATGTGCTGTAGTCCAGCAGGGGAGAGCAGGGATGTCAACAGTGATTGAGATTTCAGTGCTGCAGAGGCAGACTTGTCAGCTCAGTACAGGAAATTAGGAGCTCACTTGATTTCTGACAGATCAGCCGGTATTTTTCTGTACTTGCAGTGTTTTTAACCCCGCCTCCTGCCAGCCCCTGGAGGCGGGGCAGGCCCCTTGGAGGCGCATCATGGATCAGCCATAATAATTCTATAGCATCTTCCCAGGCAAAGACACATCATGAATCTCACCAACTACCAATCATCTTGAAGGGAATTTGCTCCCAAGTCATACTAAAGCAGGGGTGGGCAACACCAGCTGTCCTTTAACTACAAATCCCATAATCCCTCTACCTCTGGAAGTCATGCCTGTGGCTGTCAGAGTCTTTAAATGGCTGCTCGGTGTGAGAACTGACAGTTCACGGGACTTGTAGTTCCACAACAGCTGGAGGGCCGGAGTTGCCCACCCCTGCTCTAAGGAATAATCAAGGTAGCTGCAACGAGTGTTCAGAGTGATGGAGAGGAGCTACAGAGAGCCTGGAGGGAAACATATGAAAAGAAGCTGAGAGCGCCATCTGCTGGATACATAAAAAATGCACAATATTCATATGGAATGTTTTATACCTACCCGGACTAAATAGTTTATATTCTTGGTTCTCAACTGGTGGGTTGTGACCCAAAAGTGGGTCGCGCCCCCTTGTTCAGTGGGTCGCTGCGTGCCTTCCCCTTTTCTAGGTGTGAGGTTCCCCAGCCTCCTCCTAGTGCAGCAATGTCAGTTCCCACACCGAGCAGCCATTTCAAATATGCTGCCCAGCGCCGAGTGTCACCTTGAGGTGGGCTGGGCTGGGGGTATGGCCACGAGGAAGTTCCATCCATAAATGCATTGCTTCCAGCTTCCCCACGTGTCCTGTAGAAGGTGCCTGAGCCAGAGTGACGCAAAGCAAATGGCAAACGCACTCATCAATTTGTTACCAGCTTTACAGCAAGGTGCACACGGAAGGGCTTTAAACAGTAATAGCAAAAAGTTTCCCAGCACACTCACCAGCCAGCATGCAAAAAAACCTGTCTCACCGCTAAGGTTAAAAACAGAGGTTTAGATACACGTCTTCTGCAGAAAATGTGAAAGCCGCACAGCCGCGCCAAGGCACCTCTTATAGTGCGGTCCTAACTCTTAGGCCCGGTTCACACCTGGGCGTTTTGTAGCGCATTCCTACGCTCTGCAAAACGCTCAAACACCGAAATCCCATTATTTCCTATGGGTATGGTTCACACCTGGGCGTGTTACAGGCCGTATGAACGCGCTACAAAACGCCCTACGCCCAAAGAAGTACAGGAGCTTCTTTGGGGCGTTTTTGTCGCACGTATCCATTGGGATACAGCTGGACAACCCATGGAAACGCGCGTTTTTGTTTACCGCGAAACGAAACGCGCATATTCGATACGCCTAGGTGTGAACCCAGCCTAAACTATCAGAGTCTCCATCTTGGAGCACATGGGGCAGAAGATCAAATTGGGTGCAGGTTTGTCAGGAGGAAGCCCAACCTCCCTTAAAGGCACAGAAGACGTGTATCTAAACCTCTGTTTTTAACCTTAGCGGTGAGACAAGTTTTTTATTTTTTTGCATGCTGGCTGGTGAGTGTGCTGGGAAACTTTTTGCTATTACTGGACCGGAGTGACGTCACATTCTGGCTCCCGCCACCTCTACAGGGCCCGCAAGGGAGCTGTACCAGCAATGCACGTATGGATGGAGCTCCATCACAGCACAGCAGCCCACACTGGACCCCAGGCTGAGGATGCACTCCAGTTCTCGTGAGGTAAAGAGACTGGGTGGATCTTACAAAAAAAAATGTTTTTGGGAGTGTGTGTGTGTCAGAGAGTGTCTGTGTGTCTGTCTGTCTGTGTGTGAGATTGTGTCTGTGGTTGTGTATGTATGTCGGTGTTTTTGAAGGCCCGTTCACACCAGTACAGTGCGATTAACGCACTGTACTATAAAATCGCACCTACTGTGCATTCTGGTGTGGGAGGTGTGCTGCGTTGCCGTTCTTTTGAATGGTACCCCAAACGCACCTCCCACCCACAGTTCGTACATCGGCACCGGAACGCACGGTACCCTAATGCCGTGCGTTCCATTGCAGTGCGACTAATGACCAAAGACAAATGTGGGTCCTGAGGTTACACAGGTTGAGAACCACTGCTATATATTGTTTAGTCCTAAACATAACATAATATAGAACTGCTTCACATTCCGTATAACCTAACGCAGAAGAAAAAGATCGCTTCACTTATCACTTACCTGTCTGAGACGCATGTCACATCACAATTGCCTGCAATAAAATAAAAGGGTTACTAGTTTCTTTAAACTTCATGTTAATAAATATAAAAAATGGGTGTTAAAACTATAAAACGTTTAGAGCCTTGGTTCTCAACTGGTGCCTCGTGACCCAAAAGTGGGTCGCCACGTGCCTTCCACTTTTCTAGGTGAGACGATCCTCAGCCTCCCTCTAGAGAAGCACAGTCAGTTCTCGCACCGAGCAGCCATTCAAAAATATGATGCCCGGGGCCCAGTGTCACCTTGAGGTGAGGTGGGGTTGTCTGGGGCTATGGCCGCGAGGGAGCTCCATCCATACGTGCATTGCTTACAGCTCATCACATTCTGGCTCCCAGGAACCTCTACGGGCGCGCACGGGAGCTTTACAAGCAATGCACATATGGATGGAGCTCCATCAAAGCACAGCAGCCCACACTGGACCCCAGGTTGAGGATCCACTCCAGTTTACGTAATGGCAACCCAAACGCACCTCCCACCCACAATTCGATCGCCTGCACCGGAAAGCGCAGTACCGCAACATGGAACATTGCAGTGCAACTTGGGTCGCGACTTAATGACCGAGGACAAATGTGGGTCCCGAGGTTACACAGGTTGAGAACCACTGGTTTAGAGGAATGCCTAGCGGACATGGAAACCGAACGCTATCTCACCCGGTTCACCTGAACGCTCCATCGATCTACAGGAAGACGCTGAACCTTGCATGGCGGGTCTACCACCAAGAGCGGAGTCAGTCCTTCTCCCGAACCCCAAAGACTGGAGCACGGCAGTTCTCTCTGGGTTAAAGAGCTTGAAGGCCTCTTCTCTCTCCTTCTGTCTGACTTCTACAAAAAGACACGTTTCATACAATTAGTGGTGACAATTTTCTGACGTCATGGTCATTTGTAGATAATGTGACATTTGTCACTGCACAATGTTGTGGAAACTTGCAGGCTGATGTCAATGGAGAGGAAAGGAGATAAGGGTCCAGAAAAGGCTTTACCTCTCTTATGGGTCATAGGCGTAGATTTACTAATGTTCTCCTGTGACCCAAGCTTATCATATAATGGGCCAATGCTCAGCATGTGCTGACAGCGCAGAGCCACGCTGCAGCCGGGAAGGATCTCAGCAATACTATCGTGTGCCACCCCGCTGCCTGATTGACAGCTGGATCTGCCTCTGCAGATCCAGAGCCAGGTGTGCCCGCCCCCTCCCCTGTCTGTCCCTCCAATGAGCTCTGGAGGAACAGAGAGAGGGGACGGGGGGAATCCCTGCGGAGAACAGTGACTGACTGATCAGCAGTTCCATGAATGCTCAGCTCTCGGTAAACAGACCCAATGTGTGACAGCTGCAGTGTCCTCCCCCAACTCCAATCACTGGGGATAGTTTCCCCGAAAATAAGACCTACCCTGAAAATAAGACCTAGTTGTGACCATTCCCAGGGCCGGTGGTGGCATAAGGGGGAACTTGAAGAGCTGCAGGAGAGAATGAGATGTGCCAACTAAGCCAGCGCTAGAGGAAGCGAGGCGGCAGCGGAGGGAGCAGAGCCGCATAAGCCGATGCCTCCTCTATAGCGCCGGCTCCTGTCACAGGCGGAGTGATACCAAATGCACTCCGCCTGTGAGGAATCCATAGTGAAAGTGCGCTTCGCTCATTCTGGCCAGCGACTGGTTACCAAATTGCTCATGGAAAGGTACGGCACCCCTGATTGCCCCGATCACCATATTTTTCTACATGAATAAGTGTGGATTGTTGTACATTTAAAAAAAAAAAAATAAGACCTACCCCGAAGATAAGACCTAGTGTGTTTTTTTTAGCCAAAAAAAATAAGACAGTGAAAAATAAAGACAGTGTCTTATTTTCGGGGGAAACACGGTATTTCACCCTCCCAATACTTCTCCTTTAAAAAGGAGAACTATGGGGTTAAGTCTTTTCCCCATAGTTCTCCTTAGGGTAACGGGAGGACACAAACTAGCGTCCTCCCGTCACCCTAAGCTCAGTATACCGTGAGCTGTAGCTCGCAGTATACTGAGATGCCGCAGCTGAATCGGATCCCGACAATTGTGCCGGGATCCGCCCAGCTGCGTGACTGACAGCTGGCTCTGCCTATCTAGGAGGCAGAGCCAGCTGTACCCGTCCCCCTCCCCCGTCCGTTCCGCCAGTCAGCGCTGGCGGATCGGAGCGGGGAGGGGGGAATCCAGCCCCTCCCCTGTCACAGCAGAGAGCCGTGACAGGATCGAGAGGTGAGCGAACGCCGGTATGTGTTCGCTCACCTCCCGATCTACTGAGCTGACCTGTGACAGTCTCATTGTCACAGGTCGGCTAGAACTATGAGGTGACTGAAAAGCACGCCCCTCATAGTTATCCTTTAAGATAAAAACACATTTTTCTCAGTGCATGAAATGCTGCCAAATGTTTGGTTTTGCTAATACTAACTCCAAAGTGTGGTTAGAAATATCATATCAGTATCTTAAAGGAAAACTCCGGCAAGGTTTTTCTTAACCCTTGTAGTGGAGCTACCCCTGCCCTGTAAGGGTTAAGTGCCCGTTTTAGTCTAGGGAGGAAAACAACAAAGTTATACTCACCCGATCCTCCAAGCCGGCCGTCACAGCCTTCTCTCTTACGCTGCAGCCATAGTATGTCCCTCGGCGTCCTCATGCCCTATACAATGTGTATAGAACGTGAAGACTCGGGGAGGGGGGTTTATCAAAACTGGAGCAGGCAGAATCTGGAGCAGATATGCACTGCAGCCAATCAGCTTCTCTCTCTCACTTTCAAATCTTACCTGAGCAAACTGACGAGAGATGCTGATTGGTTGCCATGGGCAACTGCTCCAGATTCTGTTTGCTCCAGTTTTGATAAATTCCCCCCAGGAACTTTAGACCGCTGCCGCAGAGGGGGAGAGAGGCCCCGGGGAACAATCAAAGAGCAAACCGGCTTGGAGGATCGGGTGAGTATAACTTTTTTTTACCTTCCTCCCTAGACGAATATGAGCATTGGTAGACCCACTGCAAGGGTTTTTCATAGCGATGCACCGATACTGGTTTTTCGGTATAGAGTACCAAGATTTTTTTTCCCAGTACTCGCCGATACCGAATACCGATACCGGAAGTCCTATTAATGATGCAAGGCGGCGTGTAAAGACTCAGCACCCGGCTTCCTACTTAGCAGGGAAGCCGTCCCCATGCTTCCCGTCACTAGGTGATGAGAAAGCATGGAGCCGGCTTGCTGGCCAATAAGGGAGCCGGGTGCCGTGTAATGACGGGGCGACCGGCTTCCTGAATGGCCGGGAAAGCCCGCTCCATGCTCCCTCGTCATGAGGTGACGAGGGAGCACATTAAGCCGGATTCCCGGCCAATCAGAAAGCCAGGTGCCGCGTCATTACACAGCGCCCGGCTTCCTGATTGGCCAGCTTCCCGACCAATCAGGAAGCCAGACAGCGAGTCATTACACGCTGCCCGGGCTCCATGCTCCTTCGTCACAAGTGATGAGGCAGCATGGAGCCGGCTTCCTGATACCGGAAGTATCGGGCTAGGCATTGGAGCATTTGGGCGAGTACGAGTACTCGCCCAAATACTTGGCATTGGCACCGATACCAATACTAGTATCGGTGCATCCGTAGTTAATCAAAATTGTGCCCGGAGTTCTTGTTTAATGTCTGGGGGTAATCTTCCAATCTCTGCATGAGGATGCGTGTGAGCAGCTTCACCTCTTTTCAGAAATCGCATTTTCAGCTACTTTATTTCCTGCGTCGCTGTACAAAAATAACAGTTTTCCCTCCTGCGTTATAACGCAGGGCCCCCGAGTGTTCCCGCGCGTCGGGCCGAGAGCCTGCACTCGCTTAACGCCGACAGACAGATGTAAATTCCCTGCCACGGCGGATTAAACAACACAAAGCAGCTCCGGGGGGCTCAACAGATTTTCAGCCGTCTCATTTCTGCAAATCCGAGTCAATTTGGGACTGGACTTTGTCACGGACTTCAGAAAATGACAGCGCGGCCAAAAAATGTGAGCGGCGGACAGGAAAAAAATCTGTTTCGGTTTAGGAGGCATGTGGGATTTGTTCTGTGGGTGGCGTATTTACATCCAGAGAAAACAAACTTTCATTTAACGGTGGGATTAAATGCAGGCGTCGTGGCCGCGCTTACGTTCCCGATCGAGGAGCTCCAGCGAGGGAAGGTGCTGGACTACATAAGCTCGATAGCCCGTGTCTTGTTCCAGAGGGTTGTGAAATAGATCTGCGGAGGGAACAAAAAAGGGGAACGTGATTAACGCTGAACTCCAAGAAGATATCAAAGTAGGGACGCACCGATACGAGTATAGGTATTGGCGCTGATACAGAGTATTTGGGCGGGTAATTATACGCGCCCAAATGATCCGATGCTGGAACTTCCGGTATCAGGAAGCCGGGCAGCGAGTCATTAAAGGAGAACTATGAGGCGAGTGCTTTTCACTCACCTCATAGTTCTAGCCGACCTGTGACAATGAGACTGTCACAGGTCGGCTCAGTAGATCGAGAAGTGAGCGAACACGTAGCGGCGCTCGCTCACTTCTCGATCTTGTCACGGCTCTCTGCCGTGACAGGGGAGGGGCTGGATTCCCCCCTCCCTGCTCCGATCCGCCAGCGCTGACTGGCGGAACGGACGGGGGAGGGGGTGGGTACAGCTGGCTCTGCCTCTAGATAGAGAGAATTTGGTACCTTTGCTGCTTTTAAGCCTGTGGTAAAATGCATACCTAGCCATCTAGCCACAACATTTAAAGAGAACTAGTCACCAATGGGCCTTATAATAATCTGAATCTTCATAGCACAGGTCTTATCTCTCAGGATATTTTATTATTTACTTGTATTCTCTGCCAGTTAGAGCAGAAGTATCAGACTGAGCGTCTGCTACATGAGCCGAGTGCTGATGAAAGATACACCAAAAAAAGTCAAAGATTTTAAGGATTCCAAATGGCTTTGTTCATTGGCAGTTTAACCCTCCTATAGCAGACCAGAGAGAGTGTCCTGTACCACCACTGAGCTCAGCAATGGCAGCTATTCTGACAATGAGCCGACACTTCCGCACTGACAGGGAGAGAATGCAACAAAGTAGCAGCATGCACATCGATCCCCAAGAGGTCAAGTTACACTATTATAACAACTTAAGTGTGGAGATTTAGATTCTTCAAATTCTAATTTCTTATTCCACTTGCTTAAAGGAGATCTATGAGGTGAGTGCTTTTCACTCCTCCTCATAGTTCTAGCCGACCTGTGACAATGAGACTGTCACAGGTCGGCTCAGTAGATCGGGAGGTGAGCGAACACATACCGGCGTTCGCTCACCTCTCGATCCTGTCACGGCTCTCTGCCCTGACAGGGGAGGGACTGGATTCCCCCCTCCAATCCTCCAGTGCTGACTGGCGGAACGGACGGGGGAGGGGGCGGGTACAGCTGGCTCTGCCTCTAGATAGGCAGAGCTGGCTGTCAGTCACGCAGCTGGGCGGATCCAGACATAATTGTCGGGATCCGCTTCAGTTGGCCTCATTGTGTAGCTAGAACAGCCTCCACTCTTCTGGGAAGGATTACTATAAGATTTTGGAGAGAGCCTGTGGGAATTTGTCCCCATTCAGCCCCAAGATCATTTCTGAGGTCAGGTACTGACATTGGATGAGAAGACCCGGCTCACAAATGGCGTTCCAATTCATCCCAAAGGTGTTTGGTAGGGTTGAGGTCGGGGCTCTGTAGGACACGGACGTTCCTCCACACCAAGCTCATCAAGCCATGTCTTTATGGAGCTGGCTTTCTACACAGGGGTCAGTCATGGGGGGACACAAAAGGGCCGTCACCAAACTATGACCACAAGGTTGGAAGAGAACAATTGTCTTTGTATGATGTAGTATTACCAGAACCTTCACTGCAAACACCTGAACTCCATCATTTAGAAGGGTATGGTCATACATTTAGGTCATATAGGTGTGTCTGATGGTAAGATATCCCCAAATTTTGGGTGATATGGCGTATAAAGAGAAAATGGTAACGCATATATCCTATGCTGATAGGTGTTTCGCTAATGTTAGTTTTGCAATCACAACCTGACACAGCCAAATTACCTGGTGAGAAGTATCCACTGGAAGCTGCCATTTTTTTTTTAATACCAAGCTGTACGATTGGTCTAGAGCAGGGATCCTGAGTCTGTACAGTTTCACCACATGTGGTTTCACTACCCCAAAACTAAGGCAGCTTCCATCTGATACTTCTCTCACAGGTATTTCTATCAGGTAGTGACTTAAAGTGACATTAAACCCTCAGATTTTTTAACATAAAACAATACTGTAATGTGCGCCTTACTGTAATCCATGGTAGTTTCCCTTCTCTTTGCTGCTCTTCCTTTTAAATCTGTATCTGTTCTCATGCTGGGCAGAACTTCTGTTTTGCAGCAGACTGCCTTGTCTCTGGAATGGATACATGGTGTCTGTGTGTAGGTTCACAACCTGAGCCAGCACTACAGGAAGAGGCACTCAGCTGCAAAGGGAAGTTCTCCCCCAGCACGAGAAGAGATATGGATTTAAAAGGAAGAGCAGCAAAGAGAAGGGAAACTACCACGGATTACAGTAAGGCGCACATTACAGTATTGGTTTATGTAAAAGAATCTGAGGGTTTAATGTCACTTTAAAGCTGTCACAGGTCCGGTACATGAAGGAAGTCTGCAGGGTGATGGTGCGTAGCTACTTGTCAACATGATCGGCCTTTATTGTGAGAATGAGCTGGCAGGTTAATGCGTTCCGTGATTACTTAGGACTCGGAGGTTGGTCATCCGTTTCAGCTCTTGTACGGCGGCCTGCAGCTTGGTCAGGTGGTTATCATTCAGCATCAGTGTGTGTAACGAAGTTAAATGCTTCAGAGAACCTGGAAATAAATGAAAGGGAGAAATCACACATCGGAATGAGCAGAGTGTGCTGGTGGCCAAGGAAGTGATGGCAGGAAATGTATACATGGAGCACATGCGGAGGAGGGGCAGTAGAATGAGGCCAACATAGGCTGCAGGAGGACATAGCTGCAATGGTGACATGTGTGCTGCGTCTGCTTTCCTTCCCATAATGCTCTATTACTGGAAACACTGATATGTGACATGCAGCAGGTGGACAAGGTAATGAAGGCCCCACATGTTCCTTTGCAGAGTTGGTTAATAAAGGTTTTAACTTCAAATACTTTCTATTATCTACAAAGTTTGTTCATGTTCTGAGGTTCAGCCTCTGATTTCCATCATTCAAAGAGAGTGCAACTTTATTACTCCAATCCCTGAACGCGCCCTGAGCTGCTGTTGTCACTTTCATGAAAAGACGGGTCACACAGATCGGGACCTCTTTGAGTTAACACGGTGAACCCCCTTTTACCCTGCTGTTTGCTTTGCTCTATTTTAGTACAGAATTTCTACATGATCTTATAGAAGCAGCTGGACCTTTCTTTTTATTACTCTAAAAATGCTTCCCTGTGTGAAATTGGGTCTGTCCTCTACAGAACAGAGTTAGATCACGTCTTCAGAAATAGCCTTCACACATCTAAAGAGATTCGGGACATATGCTCAATGCCCTGCCTTGTACAGATCCATCTAAGCCCATGACAACAAAGGGATCAAAGGGAAAGCAAGAGACACAGAAGAACAGTGGAAGTGAGACGAGAATTATATCACAGCGAAAGATGTCACTTCTGTCTCCTGTAGCCAAACTAATAGAAGGCACTTTTGCAGTGATTTATTACAGAGTGATATGTCAGCCATGAGGAAACAAAGTCAATGTACAGATATGAATGTGTATGGTCAGCATTAGGACCTGTGTTGGCTTTTGTTCATTTCAGGCAGGTTCTGCATTCCCATACAGGTCTACTGGAATGCAAAACCCACTTGAAGCAGGTCAAATGCAGATCAGAAGGAGGCCAGCTGCAGATCAAATGCAGATCAAAAGGAGGCCAACTGCAGATCAGAAGGAGGCCAACTGCAGATTAATTGCAGATCAGAAGAAGTCCAAATGCAGATTAAATGCAGATCAGAAGAAGGCCAAATGCAGATTAAATGCAGATCAGAAGGAGGCCAAATGCAGATTAAATGCAGATCAGAAGGAGGCCAAATGCAGATTAAATGCAGATCAGAAGGATGTCAACTGCAGATCAGAAGGAGGCCAACTGCAGATCAGAAGGAGGCCAACTGCAGATTAATTGCAGATCAGAAGAAGGCCAAATGCAGATCAGAGGGAGGCCAACTGCAGATCCGAAGGAGGCCAAATGCAGATTAAATGCAGATCAGAAGGATGTCAACTGCAGATCAGAAGGAGGCCAACTGCAGATCAGAAGGAGGCCAACTGCAGATCAAATGCAGATCAGAAGGAGGTCAACTGCAGATCAGATGGAGGCCAAATGCAGATTAAATGTAGATCAGAAGGAGGCCAACTGCAGATCAAAAGTAGATTAAAGGGGGTCAATTGCTGATCAGAAGGAGGTCAGCTGCAGATCAAATGCAGATAAGGAGGTCAACTGCAAATCAGATGCAGATCAGAAGAAGGTCAACGGTAGATTAGAAGGATAAAAAAGAAACACCAGGCGCCTTTCCTGGTGCAAATAATCCTTTTATTTGTTTAGAAAGATTAAAAGTGATAAATGGTACTCACAAAAGAGGTGGATAAAAAGCGTGTTGGACATAAATCTCAGGATACATGCAGATTTCTAGCAGTCAGAGAAAATCAGCTGAACGCGTTTTCGTGGAGTTTCCTCTTCCTCAGAGCTGGGCTTTTTTGCGAGTACCATTTATCACTTTTAATCTTTCTAAACAAATAAAAGGATTATTTGCACCAGGAAAGGCACCCGGTGTTTCTTTTTTATGTTTCACACAGTGTAATCCCTCATCTGTAGCGGGGCGGCCTGCCTGGAACACACGATTCAATTTGTGGCTGAAGAAGGTTCCTATCTGGCGCTGGTTTTGCTTTTTACAGATTAGAAGGAGGTCAACTGCAGATGAAATGCAGATTAGAAGGAGGTCAGCTGCAGATTAGAAGGAGGTCAACTGCAGATTAGAAGGAGGTCAACTGCAGATTAGAAGGAGGTCAACTGCAGATTAGAAGGAGGTCAACTGCAGATTAGAAGGAGGTCAACTGCAGATTAGAAGGAGGTCAACTGCAGATTAGAAGGAGGTCAACTGCAGATTAGAAGGAGGTCAACTGCAGATTAGAAGGAGGTCAACTGCAGATTAGAAGGAGGTCAACTGCAGATTAGAAGGAGGTCAACTGCAGATTAGAAGGAGGTCAACTGCAGATTAGAAGGAGGTCAACTGCAGATTAGAAGGAGGTCAACTGCAGATTAGAAGGAGGTCAACTGCAGATTAGAAGGAGGTCAACTGCAGATTAGAAGGAGGTCAACTGCAGATTAGAAGGAGGTCAACTGCAGATTAGAAGGAGGTCAACTGCAGATTAGAAGGAGGTCAACTGCAGATTAGAAGGAGGTCAACTGCAGATTAGAAGGAGGTCAACTGCAGATTAGAAGGAGGTCAACTGCAGATTAGAAGGAGGTCAACTGCAGATTAGAAGGAGGTCAACTGCAGATTAGAAGGAGGTCAACTGCAGATTAGAAGGAGGTCAACTGCAGATTAGAAGGAGGTCAACTACAGATTAGAAGGAGATCAACTACAGATTAGAAGGAGATCAACTGCAGATTAGAAGGAGATCAACTGCAGATTAGAAGGAGATCAACTGCAGAGTAGAAGGTCAACTGCAGATTAGAAGGAGGTCAACTACAGATTAGAAGGAGGCCAACTACAGATTAGAAGGAGGTGAACTGCAGATTAGAAGGAGGCCAACCGCAGATGAAATGCAGATTAGGAGGTCAGCTGCAGATTAGAAGGAGGTCAACCGCAGATGAAATGCAGATTAGGAGGTCAGCTGCAGATTAGAAGGAGATCAACTGCAGATTAGAAGGAGGTCAACTGTTCAACTGCAGGTCAAATGCCCCTGTTAATGAATTCTAAAGCATTAGAAGCATTCTCAAGCTGATGCAATCAACACAAGCCCAAAGTCTGTCGATGAGAGCCCTTAGGCATGTCAGTGAGCGATCTGATTATTAATGTGCAACATTAAGGTGACTTTAAGTTTTTAGTTATTGGAGAGGTATGGTGACTGATCTGCCCAAACTCAGATAACATGATGCAAAGGCACACAGGCAGTAAACGTCTTCCTTACAGAGAAGGTAAACACGGCAGCTTGTGTGTGTGTTTTGGTTCCCAATATGCTATCTATTGGCTTTCTGTGCAGCCCATGGTGCCTTGTACTGGGTTTGTCACCTGTGGGCACTTTGCAGAGGGGCAGTGGGGAGCCAAGCGCTGAACCGCTCTCAGCGTTTCACCCCCTGGTACTGAAATACTGACTGTACTCTCAGGCTGAATGATCTCATCCCAACATTACAAGTATATTCTTGGCCTTGTTAGGGAGAGAGAGCTGGGCAGGATCGTGTAATCACTGACCATCAGTGCTTGAGGGGGTTACATTTTACTGCCGCCAGATGTTAAATGAAACTGCCACGGATCACAAAATTGGGGAGGGGGGGGGGTTACATACCACTGCTACTGAGCACCTGCGCAGAAGGAAGGGTTAACAGCACTGCCACTGTCACCAATGTCAGAGGTTTCCATTGCGTCCACTGTCACCAATGTCGGCGGTTTCTATTGCGTCCACTGTCACCAATGTCGGCGGTTTCTATTGCGTCCACTGTCACCAATGTTGGAGGATTCTATTGCGTCCACTGTCACCAATGTCGGCGGTTTCTATTGCGCCCACTGTCACCAATGTCGGCGGTTTCTATTGCGCCCACTGTCACCAATATTGGAGGTTTCTATTGCGTCCACTGTCACCAATGTCAGCGGTTTCTATTGCGTCCACTGTCACCAATGTCGGCGGTTTCTATTGCGCCCACTGTCACCAATGTCGGCGGTTTCTATTGCGCCCACTGTCACCAATATTGGAGGTTTCTATTGCGTCCACTGTCACCAATGTCGGAGGTTTCTATTGCGTCCACTGTCACCAATGTCGGCGGTTTCTATTGCGTCCACTGTCACCAATGTCGGAGGTGACAGTTCATTTTAAGATCTTCTCCTTTCACTTCTTAGCTGCTTTAGGTTTTATTTTATTTATTCTAGTTAGATCCAGGAGCGCAGATTATTTTTCACATAAAGAAAGCAGATTGTTCAGTTTTTACCTTTTATATCGCAGAGTTCATTGTGGTCGAGATACAACTCAGACAGACGGAAATTAGTGGTTAAAAAGTTCACCCTGGATATCTGGAACACATGAAATAAACAATGCTGAATGATAGTGAGCGAGCGTCTCCCTAATAGAGACATAGACACCAATAAAAACCTAAACATGTACGGGGTGAGGCTTCTCTCAGCACAACCAGCGTACCCCTTAGCTAGGGGACCCTGAATTTGAAATGTAGGTATAGTCTAATGAGAGCACCAAGGACCTGAGAGTCAAAAACGCTTTAATATTACTGATGACATAAGGGAAGACATATGGTAAACGCATTTCGGGAGTTAAAGGCTAAGGCTCGAATTTTGCATCAGGAGGTCAGGAGGACTCAAAAACTGGCACCAGAAAAAATTATTATAAGAATGAACTGTGAAAGGTGCCCAGGGATGAGATAGCAGCAGCATGCTTGCTGAGCACTTTCTTATTAAGGAATATTTGGACTCTTGGTTCCTTGGTCTGGCGCTCTCATTAGACTTTCTATATATGTCCAATAAAAAAACCTGACATTGGCCATAACACTTCCCTACACTATACATAACAATCTAAAACCCTTTGCCTGGAGCGGAGGCTTTTTTTTAAATCCCGAGTGCTTTGTATTTTTTACATTTTCTGTACCTTGTTATGGTTGAGCCACAAATATTTTAACATGCGAAACCTTGACAAATCCGTGACTTCGCGCAGCCCTCTACGGAGAGATGAAAGAATCAGAGAAATATATTGATGTATTAATTAATTAAATGGAGAGAGAGAGATTGGGGCAATGAGAGAGAGAGAGAGATTGGAGGGGGAGGGGAGAGAGAGATTGGAGGGGGGGAGAGAGAGAGAAAGAGAGAGATTGGGGCAATGAGAAAGAGAGAGATTGGGGCAATGAGAAAGAGATTGGAGCAAAGAGAGAGAGAGTTAATTATCACCAAATAAACACATACAGAATAAAATGAATCCCTCTGCCACCAGTCCTGATGTGACATTTCATTTATAACAGTTCCACCCGGGTGGATGCTATTCAGCTGGTACTAGCACCCCTAGATGGTGCTGACCAGTATAGGAGCTGGCTGTATCCAGATTTTGACTTACCTGTTGCAGGTGGCCCTAAAATCAGCAGTGTGAGCTGTAATGTCACTCCCTTGGTCATGTGACAAAGCTAGTAATTGGCCGCTAGGTCCAAGCACTGCCAAAGGGGAAGAGTTCACATGCTCCAAGCTCGCTCCTGTGGTGGACTATAATCTCACGTTCAGTTTACTCATTTGTATTGGGATTGTAGTCCATTCCAGGAGCGATCTTGGAGCGGTAACTACTTTACAACACACACAGAGACCATGGGGAGCAAAAGTAGCCCCCCTCCAGAAGGAAGGACGGGGTCAGCACCAATTCAGAGATGATTGGAGGATCTACAGCCGAGTGATACACAAATAAGATACATTGTTGTTCATAGTGAAGGTTCTTCAATGTATTTTTAAGATTTATCTCCGGAGTTTAGTGTCACTTGAATTATTTTTCTTCATATCTACTTTAATTTTGTTTCTATATTATTCTGATGAGCTCATGTATCTTGTATCTGGGTCACATGACATACCCCCGAGGACAGCAGGCTGGATGTGGCCATAAAACACCGCAGATAATAATAGAAGGATCTCTACTTACTTCCTGCCCAGGTAGAGCTCGTGTACATCGGAGTCTGTCTTGTAGCCGCACTTCTCGATCTGCTCCTCCATCATCTGCACTAACACAGATCAATCACACGAGGATAAGATTTTCATATTTTTATTAAAACAAGTAATACAATATTAAAACATTCCAAGAAAAAGAACTCTTCTCAAAAAAATGGCACAGAGGAGATCGGACCTCTCTACGGAATCCAAGGGAGTTAGAGATGGTGTGCTGAGAGGTCTGAATATCTCTGAAGGAGCAGGCAGTGATTCTAGGAGGACCTGCCAAGCGACACATTGAATAAAGCTGACCATACACTGAGCGTATGTCGCCCGGCTCTTGGCCCTGTTGGCAGCCTTCCGCCTGACATCCTTCAATCAGAAAACTAAAGGAGCTGGACAGAAAATTATCGGCCAGACAGTAACTGCAGCAAATCAGCTGCAGTCATTGGTCGGGTATTCTGATAGCGGCAAACCCATCGCTGTCATAATACAATGGCCACAGTGTGAGATTCATCCATTGATGAAAGAGATGAAAAAGGAGCAGTGTTCGTGGGAGAAAGGGGGGGGATCAGAGACACCTCCAGGAACATTCCCGGGTGCACTTCCAGGAACATTCCCCGGGGACACTTCCAGGAACATTCGCCCGGGACACCTCCAGGAACATTCCCCCTCCAGGAACATTCCCCGGGACACCTCCAGGAACATTCACCCGGGACACCTCCAGGAACATTCGCCCGGGACACCTCCAGGAACATTCCCCCGGGACCCCTCCAGGAACATTCCCCGGGACACCTCCAGGAACATTCCCCCGGGACACCTCCAGGAACATTTCCCCGGGACACCTCCAGGAACATTCCCCCCGGGACACCTCCAGGAACATTCCTCCCGGGACACCTCCAGAAACATTCCCCCGGGACACCTCCAGGAACATTTCCCCGAGACACCTCCAGAAACATTCCCCCGGGTCACCTCCAGGAACATTTCCCCGGGACACCTCCAGGAACATTTCCAGGCATGTTTCAGAGACACCTTCAGGGACATTTCGGGGAACCCTCCAGGGACATTCCGGGTTCCTGGGACAGCTCTGTACATTCTGGGTTCCAGTCAGCCACTTTCAGCTCCCCAGCGCTCACCGTGTCCGCCATGTTGGCTTCCTTTGTTGCCAGGATACGGGAGGGGCGGGGTCAGCCCACAGGAAGTACGTCAGTGCGGAGCTCGGGCTGGAACTTAGTGAGGGCGGAAGTAGTTTCTCGGTAACATGGCGACTGAGGTGGCTGAAACTTCAAGGAAGGTAAATACATGTTATAGGGGAAGAGAGGAACTGTATGAGGGGCCGGGGTTCGCACAGGATTTCGGGGATCCCACTGTGAGGGTGTATGGGGGCTCATTGTACAAAAGGGGGGTGACGACTCTTCTACTATACTAGCGGGTGAAGGGAGCTGAGGGGACTTATAGTACTACAATCTAGGGTGAAGAAGATGCTGGGCCTTATATTGGTTCAGTAGAGGCAGATGCTGGGGCTTGTAGTACTACAATAGAGGGTGATGCTGGGGCCTGTGGTAGTACCATAGAGGGTGATGCTGGGGCCTGTGGTACTACCATAGAGGGTGATGCTGGGGCCTGTGGTACTACCATAGAGGGTGATGCTGGGGCCTGTGGTACTACCATAGAGGGAGATGCTGGGGCCTGTGGTAGTACAATAGAGGGAGATGCTGGGGCTTGTGGTACTACCATAGAGGGTGATTCCGGGGCTTGTGGTACTACCATAGAGGGAGATGCTGGGGCCTGTGGTAGTACAATAGAGGGAGATGCTGGGGCTTGTGGTACTACAATAGATGGTGAAGGGGGTCGGTAACTGCACATTGTAGGCTGGCAGGGTATGATGGGAATCGGATAAAGCGCTGTCAGCCAATCAGACCTGTGATTGGTTACTGTGGAGTGACAAAATAATTACTCGGGCGCTTTGCAGCAATGTCTGTGTAGAAACCGTCACAGCACAGCAGCCGGATACATCGCTGTAGAATCCTTCAATGTGTGAATATGTTGTGACTCGTCATTCACTCATCATTCACCTGCCATGACCTGTGTCCTTTAGGAACCTCTAGAGGAAGAATCGACCTCTACACCATCAGATGATCTGTCCACGCTGAAGAGAGAAGAGCGACTGAGGAAATTCAGAGAGCTTCACCTGAAGAGGGTAAGACCCGTTTATAGCGTCCTGTGACATCGTGACCTCCGGGCATCCTAATGGGAGTCATATAATATATTATGATAGGCAGGGGTGGGCAACTCCGACCCTCCAGCTATGGTGAAACTACAAATCCCATGTGGCTGTCAGAGTCTTGCGGTGCCTCATGGGACTTTTAGTTTATAACAGCTGGGGGGAAGGAGTTCCCCACCCCGATGTAAGGTCTAAAACTTCTTCATACTCTCTGGTGCCATAATGGTGACTTTTCTTCCTCATGACAAACCTAAAGGTGAGTCAAAAATCTGACCTCCATCCTTCCCTTCAGTCTTCCGTCTGACCTCCGGCCTTCCCTTCAGTCTTCCGTCTGACCTCCGGCCTTCCCTTCAGTCTTCCCCTTCAGTCTTCCGTCTGACCTCCGGCCTTCCCTTCCAGTCTTGCACAGTTGTACCAGCTCCTCTCCTCTGAAATTGCTTCCTCTGATGTCACTGCACACTGTGAGCTTCTCACAATGTACATTAGAAGCTGCAGCAAGTCACATAGAGCCCGCCTCATTTCCTGGCTCGAGGACATCCAGCATCATCCTAGAGCTTTCCCCCCCCAGCCTGACTGTCCCTGGCTCCGCCCCTTTCAATCATTGTATTTCAGTTCTTACAGTCATGGAGGCTCAACATCACATGTCGGTGTTACCTAGGAAGGTCTGTATGTAAATAGAACCTGCCTAGGAACGCCCACACCTCCAGACTGAGATCCATTTAACAATGCATTTTGATATTTGAATAACTCCTCCCAAGAGCCGGCCCACTGCTTGTATCAGGACTGAGGGCTCCTTTTATGTGATCAGACAAGAATGAGCTTTCACTTTGGAACAAGCTTGTTGGTGTGCTGGGGAGATATCTCATCCACCTGACAGCTGGCAGTCGGTTGCTCAGATACCGAGTGCTGGGTGAACAGGGAGGTCCCACAACTTTCATACCTCCCGTCTTGTTCTTTTGTTCTTGGACAATCAATAGCTACACAGTGAAAAAATCCCGGCATGTACAAAACTAACCCTTGCACTGGGGCGCTGTAAGGGTTAAATACGCGTTTTGGTCTAGAGTCTAAAATGAAAGAAATATACTCACTTGATCTATGGTGACCTCTAACCTTTCTTTGGCATCCTCCCATTCAAGTGAATGGGTGCTATGATGTCACTGGTCCTTAGACTGTCGGAGCCCGGTGGAGAAGAGGCTATGGGGACCGGTCTAACAGCCAGGTTGAACTGAGGACCGGGTGAGTGTATCTTCTTTATTTTATACCCTAGACCAAAACGGGCACTTAACTTACAGTGCGGGGGTAGCCTCACTTCAAGGGTTAATTTTGTACATGCCCGAAGTCCTTCTTTCAGGAGTCTATGTGACCTGTGTGGACTGTAGTGTTTTGTTATAAAATAACGGACAAGTCTGTTCTTTTGCAGAATGAAGCTCGAAAGTTGAATCACCAGGAAGTGGTGGAGGAAGACAAACGGCAAAAGTTACCGAGTAACTGGGAAGCGCGGAAAGCGCGCCTGGAGTGGGAGGTGAAGGAGGAGGAGAAGAAAAAGGTAAGGACCGGGAAATCATTTATATGACGCTTTGTTGTGCTCGGTGTTCCAATTTATATTTGTTACATTGGATTCCAGGTGCTGGCTCATGTCCTAGTATTAGATTGCTGTGTTTAGACCCCTGCCATTTAAAGGAGATGTATGAGGCGAGTGATTTCCACTCATCCTCATAGTTAGAGCCGACCTGTGACAAAGAAGCTGTCATTCGTCTGCTCTATTGATCGGGAAGTGAGCAGAAACATGCAGCCGATCTGCTCACTTCGCGATCGTCTCCCTGCAGTGAGCGGCGACTGTCAGCGCTCCCCGCATGGATTCCCCCCTTCTCCAGTGCTGAGTGGGGGGCCGGACCGGGGAGGGGGTGGGCACAGATGGCTCTGCCTCTAGATAATCAGTCAGCTGTCACTCATGCAGCTGGGCGGATCTCAACGGTAATGTTGAGATCCGTCCCGGCTGCGGCGGTCTCGGTATAGCGAGTGCTGTAGTGTGAGATATACTGAGCTTTGGGTCGCGGGAGGAGGTTAGTATATGTACCCCTGTGACCCTGAAGAGAACTATGGAGGAAAACACTTACCACATAGTTCGCTTTTAAGTGTCATTACATCCTTTTGGAAAACATTCTATAGCACTATACTTCGTTTGCTTTCTGACCTGCTTTTGTGTGCAGGCTGTCATTTCTGCAAACGCAGCCATTCCAATCTGTGCGTTAGGGCTGCAACCAAATAATCGACAATAATCAATAATGAGAATAGTTGTCAACTATTCTCATTATCGATTAGTTGGTTGGATCCCCTAGCTCTCTCCTCCATGCTGGGAGGAGGGCACAGCAAGCAGTGGGCGTGGGCAAGTCAGTAATAATAATAATAATGTCCTTCGGGCTATTTCCTGTGAGCCCATTCTGTCATTTAGAAGACCCCCCTGTGGGGCAGGTCACAGTACTCCATGACTGAGCGCCACTCGCAAGTCATTACATGGGTGCCGCTTAGCCCTGGAACAATTACACTCAGCAGTACATCTCAGGAAATTAATCTCTCGGCTCTTCTCTTAGGAATGTGTTGAGAAAGGAATTGATTATAAGCGAGCGAAGTTGCTGGATATCAGTGCGGAGGAGGCAGACAGATGGGAGAGGAAGAAGAAGAAGAAGAATCCAGATTCGGGCTTTTCAGGTATAGTATCAGCTATTAATCGTTACTATTATAGTTATTATTATTATACAGGATTTATATAGCACCAACAGTTTGCACAGCGCTTTACAATATAAAAAAGACATTACAATACAGTTCAAGACGATGGTTTGGGTTTCTCAGAATGAACAGTTGTGTTCCAGGCTCCTCCCACCAGCTAACGTCGTTTTGAGGGGGATTTCTCCATTGTCTTCACCGCGGACATTTCTCTCTTGGTTTTCGGCACGGGTTTGGCATATTTTTTACCACTTATATTTTCAGAATAGACTTATGTTTTTTCTCGTTGCGAGTTACACAAGTTCAAGGTTCATACCTGTTGTAGGTGTTGGGCTTAAAGTTAAAGCTGAACTCCAGCCAGGAAGGATTTAATATTAGCAAGACCTTTGCTTACCTCTTCCAGAAACGATCTTCATTTTTTGTTTAACCCCTTAGTGACACATCTTCAGAAAAGGTTCCCGGGGACCTTACCAATTTTGCCCCTCTTCGCTATGTGTTTGTTTGAACATAATTTCCACCTTCCTTAATTGCACCTACACGTATTACCCTGTTTACCTGAAAATAAGACCTAGTTGTGACCATTCCCAGGGCCGGTGGTGGCATAAGGGGGAACTTGGAGAGGCAGGAGAGAATCAGCGGTGCCAGCGCTAGAGGAAGCGAGGCGGCAGTGGAGGGAGCAGAGCCGCATAAGCCGATGCCTCCTCTACAGCGCCGGCTCCTGTCACAGGCGGTGTGATACCAAATACACTCCGCCTGTGAGGAATCGATAGTGAAAGTGCGCTTCGCTCATCCTGGCCAGCGATTGGTTAGCAAATTGCTCTTGGAAAGGTGCGGCACCCCTGATTGCCCCGATAACCATATTTTCTCTAGTCACCTTCCAGGACAGCATTAGAGAGATAGGCTCCTCCCACCGGAACAGGAAACACATCACCCACACTTAAAATAAAAAGGAGCACAAGCCTAGCACGCTTCAGTTATTTTGTGTTTCCTCCGGCCGAGCAGGACATCGTAACGTTTGTTATTTTTTTCCTAGGCCTACGTGCTAGTGAGCAGGGGCTTCCCCCCAACATGGTACAGCAGAGGGTCAGTGGACCTGGGGTACCTATGGAGGGGGGCTTCCGGGACAGCCCCAACTGTCCAAGGAGCAATTAAGTCTATGAACGAGTGCAATATGGTATCCTTCGGTTCTTATGTTTTAACTGAAGCGTGCTAGGCTTGTGCTCCTTTTTATTTTAAGTGTGGGTGATGTGTTTCCTGTTCCGGTGGGAGGAGCCTATCTCTCTAATGCTGTCCTGGAAGGTTCCTAGAAACAGAGTTACCAGGTACGTAACTCCAATTTTTGTACATGAATAAGTGTGGATTGTTGTACATTGAAAACAAAAAAAATAAGACCTATCCCGAAGATAAGACCGAGCCAAAAAAAAAATATATAAGACAGTGTCTTATTTTCGGGCAGACACGGTATATAAATTTTTTTTTTTTTAAAGGGCAAAATGGGCTTTAATTTGATGTGACCTATATAAATTCTTATTTTATTTAATTAAAGAAATAATGAGAGAAAAAAAAACTAATTTTTCCCAGTTTTGCCGATAATAATCTGTCCATAATTAGTGTAGCTGACAAAGTATTTCATAATTATTTTATTGGTCCTGATTTATAGGGTATATCATATGTCTGGGACTTCACTTTATTTTGGCAGTTGTAGGTTACAAAATACAAGGATTGAAATACAATTTTAGAATGTGGTATGTTTGTCTCCTAACTTTAATAGCCTCCCCGGCGCTATATTTTCTTATTTCTTTATTAAACTTATTTTTATTTTTACTTTTTTTAAATGAAGGAGGCGACTAAGGGGTTAATTTTTTTAATTTACATGGTCTTTTGATACTTAGTATTCAGAGGAGATACCGTATTCTCCTCTCTTGTAATACACTGAAGCAGCTTGCAGCTCCACAACACAGTGTTGCCTATTCCAGTGATCACAGTGCTGGGACCCCTAATTTGCTGTTGAGGGTCTCCCTTGGACACCAAGGGACCCAGCAACAGCATGAACCCTATGAGTTCTGGTCCCTTCATGGAACAGCACTCATTGTACTGAAAGACTGTGACTGAATATTCCTGTCACTGGTCGGGAAGGGGTTAAAGTCAATTTTTCTCAGCATTCTGTGCCCCCAAACATGTCCCTTATGTCCCCTTATTAGTGCCATTTCTGCTCTGTTGGGTGGTCTTAGCATCCAATGTCTGTGTTCTCCACCTCCTGGGTTCTGCCGATTGTAGGGACTTCAGATGGATGTCTGGTATCTCTCCTGGTTTGACCTGGACTGTCGTGCTTAGTTGTTAGCTCTCAGAAATCGTGTTACAAAAGTTCATCTTATTGGTTTGGCCCTCCACAACAGTCCCAGTTTCTCATGTGGCCCCTTGAGAAATGGTCGTGTGCGCTTTGGCTGACTGAAATCTTGGGGGTCTCTTTGGCTGACTGAAATCTTGGGGGTATAATCTGCTCCACATGGCACATAACTCATTTCCAGCTATTCATGTGGTGGGCCGATCATCTGAAGGGGGTCACAGGGAGGGATGAAGGCCTTGTGCGGTCTGTCATCGGTTTCTGCCCCGGTGACAAAGCAAATGTCTCGATTGTTCTGTGGTCGGTGAAGAATTTTTCGTGTTGCTTTGGGATTTGATTGTTTACATGTGTTTTCTATAGTGTGAGATTAGCATGTTGTCCAGTAACACGGATCATTCGTCGTATGTTTATTTATAAGGAAACATTTGTCTGCCATATGGGGGGACACTTCCACTTTAATCTCCTTTGTACTCGTGCGGCTTTTGTTTTATATATCTATAACTGGAAAATCACGCAGGGCTTGGACAGAATTCATTGAAGAACATGTAAGGGGAATATTTGTGCTTTTATGGGATGTGTTACCTCTTCGTTGTGATTTTAAAGCTGACAATACGTGGATTGAATTTTGTCTGTTTTCTGCTGAATCAGCCCAAATTCAATCTATGGGCGGCCCTGCCGTCACCACTAGACATTTTCCACCTGATACGTTTTGATAAAAGTTAGTTGAACCGTTTTTCACCCAGCTTAAGGAGCTGGGTGAAAAACTTCACCCGAACAGTGACTGCAGCCTATCAGCTGTACTCATCATTTGGGTATTCTGACCACGGGTGCTGGCTGTCGGAATACAATACCGTATTTGCCGGCGTATAAGATGAGTTTTTAGACTTAAAAACATCCCCCGAAATCGGGGGTCGTCTTATACGCCGAGTATACAATACCGCTGGATGTGCGGTACTACTGCATGTACGGTAGCTTCGGCTACATACAGTATACCACGACGAGCGATGTATTCTATTAATGAATGCAAAGCCTGCTCGGATTTGCAGAGGTTGTGTTCACCGCTCAGCGTGGTATACTGTATGTAGCCGAAGCTACCGTACATACAGTATTACCGCACATCCAGCGGGCTGACAGATTAGCCTCCCTGGCGGTCTGATTATTTTTTTTCTTTTTTTTTTTTTTTTTTTTTTTTTTTTTACTTTTAAAATTTCCCGCCGGCTCCGCCCCTCTGCGACACGGACGCTCGCACGGGACGGAGGACCCAGCGGGGATCGTGGGCAAGGTAAGAGACTGTAATCCCGAGTGTGGCTCGGGGTTACCGCTTATGGTACTGAAAATAACCCCAAGCCACACTCGGGAATACCGCTACGGAGGTTAGTGGGTGTGTTTAAACATTATTTTGGGCTATACTCGTCTTATAGGACGAGTATAGACCAAAACCTATATTTTAACACAAAAATTAGGGGGTCGTCTTATACGCCGAGTCGCCTTATACGCCGGCAAATATGGTAGCTTGGATTTGGGAATCAAGTGATTTTTCTCTTGTTCAGGGCTGAGTGAGAACCTTATGGTGTATGGCCATTGTAAGTCTAAGACACACACGGTATATGCACATTTCATATCTCATGTGCTCAGTGCTATGACCTCAGAAAGATGAATTCTGGTTGTGGGTTATCTGTTGAATGAATTGGTGAATGAGCGGTGAATAATTCATTGTATGGCTTCCTAATGCAGACTCCCACAGCTGTTAATTTACCACTTTTGCCCCCTTATAGATTATGCAGCCGCCCATCTGCGCCAATACCAGCGGCTGACCAGACAGATCAAACCGGACATGGAGGAGTATGAGCAGGAACGGGAGAAACGGTGAGTGCCGGAAACTTCCTGAACGTCTTCTGTTGTCAGGTTTTCATTTAAAGGGAAACTAGATTGAAAATGTGTTTTCACAGAGAATACAATCTCACTGTTAACATGACGAATCCCAAACTATACGGTTCCAAGCAACTTCTGTGCAGCCACCGGCCAGGTGCTGATGTGGGTTGGGCCTCCTCCCTGTAATTGGGGGGCGCAGAGGGAGTACATGAATTTAACTGTAGAAGTCGCTTACTTTTTTCAATTTTAGCAGATCCTTACCTCAGAATTGAGTGAGTCCCTGATCTAAAATTAGTATGTTCACATCAGGTGTTTGGACTGGTACATATAGTGAAGCAAGGATTAGGAGGACAGGGATGGTAACCTCGGGCGGGCAGGGATGGTAACCTCGGGCGGGCAGGGATGGTAACCTCGGGCGGACAGGGATGGTAACCTCGGGCAGTGAAGCAAGGATCGGATTGACAGGGATAGTACCTTCTAGAAACGAGTCCACAATTGGAGCTTTCCTTTTTCTGTCATCATAGATCCCTATAAGCCAAGGTGCCCCCTCTGTGACACACACAGTGTGAGGAGTGTTGTCTGAGTCCCGCTCTCCTCTCAGTTGGAACACTAGTTCTGTGTTTTGTATATAACTTTCCTGTGATTGTCATATTTCATTTGTCGGACTCTAGAGGTGAAGACTTCTTCCCTACATCAGACAGCCTGTACCATGGAACGCACGTCCCGTCCAAGGATGGAGTGGAGAGAATGGTGACAGACCTGGAGAAACAGTAAGTACTTTTAACCATTTAGTCTGATCCATTGATCGCGGCTCTGCCTGCAGCCATGATGGGTTTATCACAGTTTATCTCCTCCAACCCATCAAGGAGTTTTGATATTTGCATAACTCCTTCCAAGTGCCAACCCATTGCTTGCATCAGGGCAGAGGGCCCCAGAGAGGAGTACTGAAGCAGGGTGCTGTGATGTTTTCAGGAAGCTATGTACAGCACCCTGGCAGCTCCTTCCTCCAGCCATGATCTGCCTGCCAGCACGGCTCTGCATTTCAAAAAGCTTTTATTGCTACTTGAACTGATGTACTGCAAGCCAAGGCACATAGTTCTCCACAGTAGACTTACAAAAAGGGCACAGCAGAACTATGCGCCCCCTGCTCCTCGGAGCTGTGCGCCCCCTGCTCCTCGGAGCTGTGCTCCCCCCTGCTCCTCGGAGCTGTGCTCCCCCCCCTGCTCCTCGGAGCTGTGCTCCCCCCCCTGCTCCTCGGAGCTGTGCTCCCCCCCCTGCTCCTCGGAGCTGTGCTCCCCCCCCTGCTCCTCGGAGCTGTGCTCCCCCCCCTGCTCCTCGGAGCTGTGCTCCCCCCCCTGCTCCTCGGAGCTGTGCTCCCCCCCCTGCTCCTCGGAGCTGTGCTCCCCCCCCTGCTCCTCGGAGCTGTGCTCCCCCCCCTGCTCCTCGGAGCTGTGCTCCCCCCCCTGCTCCTCGGAGCTGTGCTCCCCCCCCTGCTCCTCGGAGCTGTGCTCCCCCCCCTGCTCCTCGGAGCTGTGCTCCCCCCCCTGCTCCTCGGAGCTGTGCTCCCCCCCCTGCTCCTCGGAGCTGTGCTCCCCCCCCTGCTCCTCGGAGCTGTGCTCCCCCCCCTGCTCCTCGGAGCTGTGCTCCCCCCCCTGCTCCTCGGAGCTGTGCTCCCCCCCCTGCTCCTCGGAGCTGTGCTCCCCCCCCTGCTCCTCGGAGCTGTGCTCCCCCCCCTGCTCCTCGGAGCTGTGCTCCCCCCCCTGCTCCTCGGAGCTGTGCTCCCCCCCCTGCTCCTCGGAGCTGTGCTCCCCCCCCTGCTCCTCGGAGCTGTGCTCCCCCCCCTGCTCCTCGGAGCTGTGCTCCCCCCCCTGCTCCTCGGAGCTGTGCTCCCCCCCCTGCTCCTCGGAGCTGTGCTCCCCCCCCTGCTCCTCGGAGCTGTGCTCCCCCCCCTGCTCCTCGGAGCTGTGCTCCCCCCCCTGCTCCTCGGAGCTGTGCTCCCCCCCCTGCTCCTCGGAGCTGTGCTCCCCCCCCTGCTCCTCGGAGCTGTGCTCCCCCCCCTGCTCCTCGGAGCTGTGCTCCCCCCCCTGCTCCTCGGAGCTGTGCTCCCCCCCCTGCTCCTCGGAGCTGTGCTCCCCCCCCTGCTCCTCGGAGCTGTGCTCCCCCCCCTGCTCCTCGGAGCTGTGCTCCCCCCCCTGCTCCTCGGAGCTGTGCTCCCCCCCCTGCTCCTCGGAGCTGTGCTCCCCCCCCTGCTCCTCGGAGCTGTGCTCCCCCCCCTGCTCCTCGGAGCTGTGCTCCCCCCCCTGCTCCTCGGAGCTGTGCTCCCCCCCCTGCTCCTCGGAGCTGTGCTCCCCCCCCTGCTCCTCGGAGCTGTGCTCCCCCCCCTGCTCCTCGGAGCTGTGCTCCCCCCCCTGCTCCTCGGAGCTGTGCTCCCCCCCCTGCTCCTCGGAGCTGTGCTCCCCCCCCTGCTCCTCGGAGCTGTGCTCCCCCCCCTGCTCCTCGGAGCTGTGCTCCCCCCCCTGCTCCTCGGAGCTGTGCTCCCCCCCCTGCTCCTCGGAGCTGTGCTCCCCCCCCTGCTCCTCGGAGCTGTGCTCCCCCCCCTGCTCCTCGGAGCTGTGCTCCCCCCCCTGCTCCTCGGAGCTGTGCTCCCCCCCCTGCTCCTCGGAGCTGTGCTCCCCCCCCTGCTCCTCGGAGCTGTGCTCCCCCCCCTGCTCCTCGGAGCTGTGCTCCCCCCCCTGCTCCTCGGAGCTGTGCTCCCCCCCCTGCTCCTCGGAGCTGTGCTCCCCCCCCTGCTCCTCGGACCACAAATAGATAAACCCACTTGCTGTTGGTCTGAAATCATTTTAGTTTCTTGTAACCTTACAAATACTTTTAACTCTTCATTTTCCCATTCGTGTCCTAGGATTGCGAAGCGAGAGAAGTACAGCCGTAGACGCGCCTATAACGATGACGCCGACATCGACTACATCAACGAAAGGAATGCCAAATTCAACAAGAAAGCGGAGAGGTTTTATGGGAAATACACGGCCGAGATCAAACAGAACTTGGAGAGAGGGACGGCTGTGTAACCTCATTCCGCTCCTGCTTTGTAAATAGGAACTTCCTGCCGCTTGCATTGGATCAGCCATCATACTGACTGATGTGTGGACTGTGGTCTGTGTGTATCGGTGAGCTCATGCTTTTAGGGGATGCCTCTTTCTCTGCGTATACATAGATTGTTATATTTGCCAGGAAGTAAATCTGATGCAGCCGTCACATTTTAGGTGCCCGCTGTTCTATGTTTGTATCGACTTCAAAATGTACAAAACTTTGATTCTCACGAATTCTGCCCGGGAAGCTGGCTCCATGTTGTTTGGCCAGCTCGATTGTGATTGGCTGTGAAACCGGCCTCCCAGCCAATAAGCATCGAGCCGGCCAATCAGGAAGCCAGGAGGTGGGTCATTATCGTCGCCCGGCTTTCCGATTGCACAGGAAGCTGGCTCCATGTTCCCTTACGGCACTGCCGGTCAGAGAAAGTCTTCCTCTGATCGGAAGTTCCAGTATCGGAGCATTTGGATGAGTACTTGGTATCGGTGTATCCATAGTAAGTATAGTGGGTGGCCACATTGGAGGGGGTGAGTTCCATTTTCCCAATTTCACTTGGGAAAGTAGAATGACCCTTTCAGGTAAATTGAATGGATGTGATGACTTTAACACAGTTGCACTGTTTGCCGGATACCATAAGCAATTAATAAAACTCCTTTTATTGACTATCATGCTGCAGCCCTAACAAAGCAAAACTTCGTTCCAGTTTGGTTAAAAATAGCAACACAAACCGCAGCGACGTGCAATTTTCCATTGGCAGCGATGATCCGTGCTGTCCTATTTCTCATGCGATCCCAGATTTCCCTGGCAGAAGTATTGTCTTCATTTGGCTCCGGGAAGCCGCGGAGTGACATGAGCTTGTTGGCGTTACACAAGGGCGAGCTCTGAGCCAGATCTGTGGTTTATGGGAGCTCCCCGGCCTGGTGGGGGAGAGACTTATGGCACAGCCGCTTGTCCCTCAGATGACGGGCCGAGTGTTCATGGAAGCACGTGCCATCAATATTCATACTTTATCCATGTCGTGCTAAAGCAGGGGTAGCCAAACTCCGGCCCCCCAGCTCTGGTGGAACTACAAATCATATGAGGCATTGCAAAATTATTACAGCCACAGACATGACTCCCAAAGAGAGAGGCATCATGGGATTTGTAGTTTCACCACAGCTGGAGGACCGGAGTTTGGCTACCCCTGTGCTAAACCAACATCTGTGCGGGAAATGTGCATCTCCTTCCTGAATCGGATCGCCATTCCAGACGGCTAATGAACTGCAGAAGAGGGATTTATTGGACCAGATAGAGAGGAGCAGAACTACGTGTCCTCTTGGATCTTCATATGTGTGACTGCCACGTTTCTAGCTGTGTGGATCTGTATTTGTATCCTTCCAAACCCGTCCCGGGCGATGTAGATCTCTTTACATTTGTAGAAGCATCGCTCTGAGCAAACCATGTGACCTATTGTTCCCAGATGGTGGATAAGCTGCTACAACCATGCAGATCGGCCGAGGTCTGGGGCTCCCGAAGCCATGATGGAGAGCCCCGGGAGGAGGTGGGGACGCAGCCTTTTACTACGCTGGTCTATGCCAGAGATCAGCCGATCCAATATAAATTCCTCCACCGAGTCAACTTAACTCCGGCCAAACCTGCTAGGATGAATCCCTCCCGGCCATCAACGTGTTGGAAGTGCTTCCAAGACCATGCACGTTTCTTGGGACTGCCCCAGCATTCAGTCCTGGTATCAAGGCTCACTACCATTCCAATCACCCTGGAACCGAACATCTGTCTGGTGGAGGACCCGGCCACCACCGTGGTTGCCCTTTTGGACCTGATATTTTTTTTACGCTAGGTCAGTTATTTTAAACTGGAAGAAACCTCGCCCACCTACAATGCACGAGCCCACCTACTAATCAGTTCATCACTCTATCAATCAGTTCATCACTCTATCAATCAGTTCATCACTCTATCAATCAGTTCATCACTCTATCAATCAGTTCATCACTCTATCAATCAGTTCATCACTCTATCAATCAGTTCATCACTCTATCA